GGCCGCCGGGGCCCGGAGTCCCCGCGCCTCCGCCTCGCGCCCCCTCAGCCCCCGCGCGCCGCTCGCGCTCTCCGCGCGCCCGGGACCAGCAGCCGCCGCCCGCCCCGGAAGTGCTCGGCGTGCCCGCCCCTCACCCGGAAGCGAAGCTGCGGCACGGGCGAGACCAAGCCGGCTCCTGACCTTCTGCGCTTTCTTTCTGACACGAGTAAAAATGCCGCGGTTGTGGTTAGGTTTGAGCCAGTCCTCCAGCACAGCTCCTATCATCTCGGGCTACCAGTGCCTATTTCGTGGTGGTCAGATCCTAGGATTGCCCTATTTAGGAGACAGACGGCTTGGGATACCTGATTGTCGCGCCCTGTCGGTGCCGGGGTGCCGGAGTGTCCGAGAGACCAGCTTCCTGCTCTTGCGAAGCTTACGTTCTGGTGGGGAAAAGACCGAAAGACGATTAAAACCTGTCCTTAGCCTAACGATCATCTCAGGTGCTTGGCCGTGAATTTAGTAGGGTCAGTCAGGATGATGGGGTTGGTGGTGGTCTGGAAAGGATGCATTTCCTTTCCAGAAATCGTAAGGACCGGCCCCGTGAAGATCAGGTGCAAGGTTATCCCAGATACAGGAAATGGCAGGTGTAAAGGCCATTAGGGGAGGAATCAGTGAAGAGACTGGCAGATTCGAGGACCTGCAAAATGGCCTGTGTGGCTAGAGAGAGGTGTGAGAAAATGTAGGAAGAGACCAGAAGATGCAGGACTTTCGAGAGCCGTGATAAAGAGTGTGGATTTCATTCCAAGTGCAACTGGAGGGTTTTCAGCAGGGAATGACATGATCTCATTTCATCTGTAAAGGCCATAGGGGAGACTGTGGCAAGGAGGAGCGAAAATGTCCAGCAGAGGCACCACTGAAGAGACCAAGTATAGTCCAGGATAGAGAATTGTGGCTTTGGCTAGGGTAAAAGTAGTCAAGATGGAGAACAATGGACAGCTTTGGATGTTTTGTAGGTAAAGGGAAGGACTTTCTGGTAATGGGGGAGGTCTGGAAAGAGGACTCAGGAATGATCTCACATTTTTTGGCTTGAGAAACCAGGTGTTTGTTGATACAGAGAGGGGTATAGGGAGGCTCTAAGGTTGGATGGATAAACAAGAAAAAGTAAGATATTTGCATAATTCCTTAGCAATAGTGGAATTGCTTTCTAGTGGAGGCTTTCTTGTCCTCCGTGGCTCATGGGCTAAGTCACTTTTCGCCTCGAGTTTACATCCAGCTCTTTCTTCCCTGGATTAGTACTCCATGCAGCAAATGGGGATGAGACACTCATTTTCTCCTTAAATGCTACCCAAGTCATCTCCAGAAAGACCCAGAAGAGTGACATCTGTCTCTATTTTTGGAATGCCTACATGTCCACAAAACTCAGCAGGTTTCAAATTCCACTACAAGTACAACATCCTTGCAGAAGAGTGCAGACTAGCTGTGGCAGCACATAGATCAGAGAAGGAGGGATTTGATTGCTGGTCTAAATCAGAGTCCTTTCCTTGGGGAAAGAATTTTCAAGTTATACAATTTATTTTTCCTGTGCTATAGAAATTGACACAAGGTAATTTATATATTCCAAGGGTAATGCTTATCACATTATTGCAGTAGGTTTTCACTTTCCTTTACCTTTTTATTTATTTACAGTACTGGAGTTTGAACTCAGGGCCTTGGACTTGCTAGGCAGGTGTTCTACCACTTGAGCTATACCTCTAGCCCTTATTGCTTTGGTTATTTTTCAGATAGGGTCTCACTGTGTTGGCCAGGCTGGCTTGAACTAGAGATCTTCCTACTCATGGGCTCTCAAGTAGCTGAGAACACAGGTATGTACCACCATGCCCAGTTTATTAGTTGAGATGGGGTCTCGCCAATAACTTTTTGCCTGGGCTGGCCTCAAACCATGATCTTCTGATCTCTGTAGGTGGAATTACAGATATATAATATATATATGTACCCAACCCATGTTTTTGGCTTCTTGTCTGCTATTTTGATTGCTCTAACAATCTAAGAAGCCCTAACTCTACAAAACTTAATTCCTGAATAACATCTACTGGTGTTCACTACTGGCCTACTGATGAGAGTCCTAGAGTTGAGTGTTAGAACAGTTGGCAATGATGATGACTTGATTCTTGTGTTTAAACAGTACAAGTACAAATCCTTCCTTTTACCTGTATTGAAGCACAATACAACCAGTATTGAGTGAAAAGAATTTAAAATATTTTCATCACCTTAAAGGCTGCACATCACTTTAGACAATAGTGCCCTAGTCCATTCCTTCCTACCAATCAGGATAGTGGGTGGAGTTAGGGCCAAAACACTGTTTACAGATATTCCCATTAATTCTTCTTAGCCCTATATCATACTCTTGCCTTCCAATAGGGCTGGTGATTCAGAGTCCCAGGCCCCAGATCTACAGGACAGAGCAGTTCTTTTCTTTCTCAGCCTAGACTTTACTGGAGGCAAAAACAAGAGATTTGGAAGAGTGGTGTGGTGGGACAAAAAGAATGCAGAAGTATGTTTTAGTCCCAGCCCTGCTACTGCATTGAATTTGGGAAAGCCATGTTACCTCTCTGGGTGTCTTTCCTCCATCCAATGATAGACTCTCAGAGTCATTGTATGTTGGTAATAGAAGCATCCCTTCCTCTCAACCTAAGAAAAAAGCTGGGTCTTTTCTATTCAGAGATGAGCCATGAGGTTCCTTATGACAGAAAGTCCTCAGGGACCCAGAACAACAGGGAAGGCCCCAGGAGGGAGCTGTGGTAGCAGCAGGAAGACATAAATAGCCATGCTGTGGTTACAGGGCTGTGAACATGGCATGCTTTGTGATGGCTGGTAATGCTCAGCCCAGAAGAAGCTGAATCCAGATGGGACCTCAGGGAAAGATGTGGAGGAGACGGTGCTATCACTCTTCACTTTAAGGAGTATCTTTGGCCTGACAGGATAAAGACCATACTTCTTTCTGGGGGTCAAGCTTACCACGTGGCTAAGAGTGTAGCAGATGCTCCCATATGTGTACCTAGGGTTTCTGAGATTAGACAAGACAAAATAGCCAAATCCAGGGGTAAACAACTTGTACCCAGGTCTCAAGTCATGGTTTGTCTCATAGCTTGGTTCCTGGAGCTGACTCAGACAAGAGGGTATTGATCAGTGTACAGGAAGTTTATTAGGCCCAGCTCTGAGGACCAGCTCCAGTGGGGGAAGGGAAGGAGGCAGCTCTGGGCAGAGGGAGAAGTCAAGTGCAGTCAAGGAGGCTTTGGCAGACTATGAGGGAGCTTTCAGCTGTGATGGCCATTTTGAGTTGCTCTGAGTTAGGTAGAAGGCCAAACCTTTACATTCCTTGTACTGACCCCAGGAATGAGTCATGACCTTGGGGAAAGCTTTCCTTAGACAAGGACAATTCCTGAACACGGACAGCCAAGATCTGTGAAATTACAACCCTCCCAGTAGCTGGGGAGCAGCCCTTCAACCCTGGTGGAAACCTAGGCAGCACAGCGCAACATTTGCCACAGTGCCCCAGGGTGCTGTGCAGATCACAGCATTTTTCATATGCTCTGTAATATATTTTTTTAAATTTCCATGTATCTTCAAATAAAATTTGCCCTCCAGGAAAATAAGCCATATATATCCAGTGACTTGAATTCCCTATCATATCACTAATACTTGGCCCATCACCTACCCAGATTTGACTGCCCTAGTACAGTAAAAGCATATCCAAGACCAGTGTGGTGCTTCACACCTGTAATTCCAGCACTTGGTAGGCTGAGCCAGGAGGACCATGGGTTCAAGGCCAGCCTGGGCTACATAACAAGATCCGTGTCAAAAAACCAACCCCCTAAGAAACAAAGCATATCATCTTTAACACCCCAGTTCTCAACTAGGAATTGGTTTTTTAGGTTCTAGGCCAACCCACCACATCCTTGGAGGCTGAGAGCAGCCCTTTGTATTAGGCTCTGCCATACAAAGTTTATCCAGTGAGAAAGCTGCCCCGGTTTATTGTCTGGAAGAGCCAGAGAGACAGCAGAGTAAGCTGGGACCTACGGAAGTTTGCCATAGAAATCTCAGCACAGTGACCTGGGATAGGCACTTAGTAACTATTTGTGGAAGGGCTGAGTACCCTGGGACAAGGTGCTTAACTGTCTGTTTCATCAGAGCTGGGTCTTCATTATGTTATTTCCTCTTTCTTCTAGAGTTTATTTTTCATAATTTATATTTTCCTAAAATTGTCCCAGTCATCTGTTTTTTAAATATAAGTTCCAAAAGGATAGAGCCCTTGTCTGTCTCATTTACTGTTATATCCCCACAAACCACAGCACAGCTTCCAGTGAATATTTATTGTATGAGTGTGTGTGTGTGTGGGGGGGAGGACCATTTTGGAAAAAAGGAAGCATTAATCCCTCTCCTCATAGTGACTCATTGTTTTCAGGCCACCCTTGGCCTCTTCTCATCCAAAACATCCACCAGTGGAGTGCAACTGCAGCGGCAAAGTAGTTGGAGCTGTTGATTCAACAACATTTAAAAATGCTATCATTAGGGGTGCAGCAGGGAATTCTGGGATCTTTTGTAATCTTTCGGCTATGGTCTTAATCTGGAGACCGCCTCACACCCTGTGTCTCTTCCCCATCCCCATTTCAATGTTTTACCACCAGTAAGTGAAGAGCCTGGTGCGAGCCCGGCACCCCAGAAGTTTCCTTCTTTCCACCAAAGTTGTGACATACACTGCGTTTGATTGCAACACACGCCGGGTTTTCCAGGGTGCACTGAAGCTTTGCGGCGACCGCACCGCCGGCGGCCTTGCAGCGCCCCCTTGTGGACATCCCGCGGGCAGGCGCACGAAGTCTTCCCGCCGCCCGCGGTCGGTCACTCTCTGCCCGCGGTCGGCCCGCGGTGCGCCGGCTCCTCTAGGATTCGAAACTGTTGGGGAGTCGGACCGACTCCAGCCTCGCCTCCGGGAGGTCCTACTGAGCCGTCCTCCTCCCGGGGCTATGGAGAAGGCCGCTCAAAAAAGCAGAAATGGTAACTGGGGAGAGGGCGATGCCCCGGGTTCCAAACCTCCTCCCTTTTCTCCTCTGTAAAATGCAGACTTCGCACCATTGACCTGGGAGATGGTCTGTCGTCCTTGTTTTTCAAAGTATAATTTACATGTAGTAAGATCCTCCCTTTGTAGTGGACAGATCTATGAGTTTTGACAAGCATATACCCACATTGAACCACCACCACAATCGAGATAGGGAATGAGTCCGCCACCCCCCAAATTACCCAGTGTCTGCCCCTTGGCAAGCCAACCCCTTCCTCCACCCAGTTCCTCACACTCTGATTTGTTTTCTCGTGTTGCCTTTCAGTGGAGAATGTTATAAAAATGGAATCATGAAGGAAGCTTTTGGAGTCTGGCTTCTTTCACTTAACCCTGCTGTCATTTGAAACCAGTCTTCACAGATTACATCATAAGCATATTTAACTTGCAAGCAGAGGTTGGAAATGGGCAAGGACATTTGCTTTGAGCAAAGGGCCATGAACCCCATGTGCTCCCTACAGCTGGGAGTGCTCTTTCTCAGCAATGTCCTGAAACACCAGGGTCACACGGACTTGGCAAAGGCCTGGCCAGTGGTGGTGTGCCTCTGGTCCCTATTGATGGAGTAGTGTGTGTGGTGCTGAGAACATCTCTGCCCAGAAACTCCCCGTGTACTGGAAAGGAGCCTTCTAGAAACTTCCTCTGGGAATAATCACTTGTTTGATATTTGCTTGCAAAATTTGGTTCTGAAGAAAACATGTTTTAATTCCTCCCATGACCCACTGTCCCCAAGGCCTGTGGATCCATCTACTGTCCATTTCCACTGTCACCGCCATGACATGCTTGGGTTCATTTCTTGATTCTGGGCTTCACAATCCACACATTACACCTCATCCACAACAATTTCTTTAAAAATATAAATCTAATCACAAACAGTTTAAATCACGTCTAAACTCTTTCCTTGAGGTCGACCTGAGCACCAGCCCTGGTCTGCCCTGCCATCGCCCCCACGCCCTACTGGTCTCCTTCATGTTCCAAACAGGGCTTGTTCCTTCCTGTCTCAGAACCTTGATAGAATCTGCTCCCTCTGGTCTTCCTTTGCCTGAATATTTCCTATTGTCCTTTTGATGTTGATTCACATTTTCTCCCTTGGGGAAGTCTGATCTGCCTTCCCGAGATGAGACCTTGGCTTCCTGTTGTTCACCATCTGAGCTCTCTGCCCTTTTCTTTCATTGCATGTGTTACAGTTATCCAACTTATATGTATATAACTGGCATCTGTCTCCTCTTCTAGGCTGTAAGATGCATAAGGGCAAGAAACATGGGTTGGTTCACCATGTGAACCCAGGGTCCAAACACGCTGCCTGAATGGGTAACAATAACTACATTAAGCATGTTATTAAGCACCTATGATGTACCAGGCTCTGTGCAAAAGTCCTTTAATGGTCTCATTTAAGTCCCATACACTTTCATAGTCCTCATTTTACCAACAAGGAAACTGAGGAACAGGGAAGTTATGTAAATGCCCCAGCAGTCTGGCTTTAGAACCCCAGGGCCTACTGCCATGCCGTTGTCTTGAAAATGACTGAAACAAGTTCCCCTCTTTCTGTTAGAAAAAGTCAGTCTCAAGGTCAAGACCTCTGTACACAACTTGAGTAAAACACGGCAGACCAAACTCACCGTGGGCAGCCTGGGATTGGGCCTGATCATCATCCAGCATGGGCCCTACCTGCAGATTACTCACCTCATCAAGAAGGGGGCTGCGGCCAAGGACGGGAAACTGCGGCCAGGTGACTGTTTCCCCATCCCTATACCTCCCTCCCACCTGCCTTCAAGGGGTCACAGGGTTTCAGTATAACCATATGACATTGGCCTGAGAACATTCTAAGGGTCAGCCAATCACTAGCACTTATATAACCCTTACTGCTGGGCGTGTTAATTCATTTAATTCTTACAATAACCCTGTAGGTAGGTGAGGAAACTGAAGGTCAGTGATAATTCCTTGTTGAGGTTCACCTGTGGGACACAAACACAGGCCTAATGTCACTCCAGAGCTCCTCTCTGTGTGTAGAAATTTCTCCTTCTGTAGACGGGATTAATCATTGCTTACATTTGGGTGCATGGTCTCATTACTCCCTCCTGACAATCCCAGAGATAGTCGGCATTGACCACCTTGCAGATAAAGAATCTATTAACTTGTCCCCATGGTCATATCAAGGAGCTGGGATTTGAACCCTCCTTCTGGGATAGCAGAGCCCAAGGGCCTTACCAAGAGCACCCTATGTCTCAGGCCTTTGGGAGAATGTATTTCTATTCACAAGACATTTTTCCCAGTGTCTGCCCAGGAGTAGGGAATGCACAACAGAATGGTGACGTGTGAGAGGGAGAAAAAAACATTCCAGGGTTTGCCGTCTGAATTCAGCCCAGGCTCTGCCACTTGGGCAAAGACACTTAGCCTTCTGGGCCTGAGCTACCTCACCTCTAAGTTTGGGGAATTGCTGGAATTTGATGAAATATTTTTTATGAAAGTGCTTTGAAAAAAGTGCTCTGGAAATATTGCCAGTTATTTCTCCTCAGCTGCTTTCACAGATTCTCCATACTTGTCTTTTTTTAAAAAAAATAAAAAATAATTATGACATCCCGGCAACCCTGATTACCTATTAGAATCATCTGGGAAGCTTTTGAAACTAAGGCATGTGGGTCCCATCTCCCTAGAGTTTCTGATGGGATTTGTGTAGTTTTAAGACAGCATAGTTCATGCTTTGAAAGCTCCTCAGGCCACCTGATTTGCAGTCAGGATTTAAAGCAGCAGATTAAAGAAGAAAGCGCCTAAGTGATACTCTGATGAAACAGTTTACCTGACCTTAAAGTCCAAAGCATTTTCTCTACGTATCATGGTGTGGTGCTAGAGAACAAACTACCAGGAAAAATCTGGACATCCCAGTGTCAGCCTTCTGTCACTGTGACAAATACCTGAGATAAAAAACTTATGAGGAGGAAAGGTTTATTTTGACTGATGATTTAAGAGGTTTCAGTCCTTGGTTGGTTGGCTCTGTTGTTTTTGGGCAGCAAATCATAGTGAGAAAGCTGCTTATCTCATGGCAGTTGGGGATCACAATATCCCCTTCAAGGGCACGCCCCAATGACTTAAATTCCTCCCCTGAGTCCCTAATTAATAAAGGTTCCACCACTTCCCAGTAATACCACTGACTGGAGACCAAGCCTTCAACACATCGACCGTTGGAGGGCGTTTATCCAAACTATAGCACAGACCACAGGAAGTTCGGGATGAATCTCATGGGCTTTTCTTCTTTTTTGGAAGTCAGGTGACAAAAGCAGTTGATAACCAGATGCACACTCCAGAGTGCTAGAGTGGGGCAGAGGATATGTACTGGTTCAGGCCAATGACAGAGAATCTCATAATGGGGCTATAGTTAGTATACTCTTTGAGGTAAGGGTCAGCTATAAATTTATCTATTTACTTTTCAATACTGGGGATTGAGCTCAGGGCCTTGCACATGCTAGGTAAGCACTCTACTACTGAATCCCCAGCCCTGGATTCATTAGTAAGCGCTGGCAGCACATTTATTCGTCCATGCTTGATAAGTGAACAGTAAAGGAGTGTTCATCCCAGGCACTGTATAAGATGTTTCCCACATCTATTACTGAATCTAATATTTACAACATTCCTGGAATGTAGATAATGAAATTTAGACACTCAGAGAGGTGAAGTAACTTGTTCAATATACACAGCTAAGTGTGTGGTCAGAACTGGGATTTGAACCCATGTACTCCTAGAAAAATACCTTTCTGGCCAATTGCTTAACTGGAAGTGAGATTTCAGTGCAGAGGAAGTCCAGGCCTTCAGGGTCTGTAGTTCAGTCACTTTTGCACTGATCCTGAGGTTACGGGGGTGATAACTGTAAAGACTTGCTATTTCTTTAACCCTGTTGTCTCCCAGCCCTGTGTTTCTCATCCATGTGCTTTAAAGTTCTGGTGTTTCATGACAGAGTTCCATCTTGATTTCCTTATTTAGTGCCATTCTGTGTGAACTTTAAATTTCTCTTGGTCAGTGTGACTTCAACAGACTCTGATATACAAAGTCTTAAGATGTTGACACAGCTTTGACAGTAGATGCTAGACTGTGCACTGACCACTGCCCTACCAGGGCAAGCTTCATTCAGTCAGTTTCCTGAATGCCTGCTAGTTGCAATCACCTTGCTAGGTCCTGTGGGTGTAAAGTGGGAGCCAAACAGATGTCGTCTCTAGCCATATGGAACAGATGCAACTAATAGCCTAGTTGGGAAGGACAGAGAAAAATTAATCTATTTTTCAGGAATGGTGTGGCTGTTTGATTTAATATAAGCAATCAAAACCAGGTTTATATAATGTCATTTCTATAGCCCATTGAAACAGAAAAAAGATGTGTAATGAGGTTGGTATTCATAAATACCAAATTGGTGTCTTTTTGTGAAGGGCAATGTTAATATCTATTGCCAGAGTAAGCACATTCACACACTGACACGTTTGGCTTACAGCCAGATTGGTCAGGGAGTTAAGCTGTTTATTTTCTGCTGTCTTGATAAAAGTCACCTTTTTACAATATAATTAAAGCAGAATGCCATGCCATAGCTTTCAGCTATAAACACTCCTTCTAACCTTGGCATGTGAGCCCATCAGGAGAGGACCATTGTGATTAACCTCGGTAGGGTGAGCAGCACTTTCGTACTGCATAGCCTGTAGCTAGAAGCCTTGTTTGGTTCTGAAGTTACCTGCAGGTACTCAGCTGATTTTATCCCCTGCTTTTTTTTTTTCTTTTTTTGTGATAACTCAGGAGGGCCTCATGCTTCCTGGGCCTGCACTCTACCACTTTAGCCATGTTCCCAGCCTTCACAGCTACTTCTTAAGAACAAGATAGACGGTTCCCTTCATTCTTCCAAGTACTCATTTTCTGGAATACTGGGAACTTTTGTTTCCACTAGGATGTAGTACTTGGAAGCCTGTCCTTGGCATTCCTTGGAGGCTTCCTTGGGATCAGTGTACGTTCCGATGTTAGCACACTGGAACATAGTATCAGAAGGTGCTTCTTCTCAACCCTTTCTTCTCTGGGGTTGGGTTTCAACTCTCTTGGAATGAGGATGATGGCGAGTCCCTCGCTTTCCCTGCCCAGGGAGTGCATCCTTTGTAACTTTCCTGTGGTCACTTCATCCCATGTCAGCTACAAAATCCTTATTGCAGCTTGGCAGGATGGAGCGCTGATAAAGATTTTGCTCAACATGAGTTTGTGCTTAAGAGCAAATCTTTTGTATTCTTTCCTCAAAGTCTTTGCTGAATGCAAGTGTTGTAGGCTCATGCAGTCTAATCAGAAGTTTCCCAGGCAGGACATGCAGGTATAGTGAGGAAAGGAACGGAGTTTATTATAGGGACAGGGAAGGGGATTACAGGTAGGATTTCTGCTAGGTGGAATGGAGGAGCTGCATGAAGGAAAAAAGATTTTTTTAGGTCATTTTTATACCATCCTTAACTTGAAGATGGGGAGGAAACCTGTGTCACTCACTCCCTATTTCCAATGACCTTTAGACCAGGGGAGGATCTGGGTTGACTTGTGCCATATATTTAGGCTAATTTTCAGGTACCTTAAACCCATGGGAAGAAATTTCCATTCTTTTTAGCTTAATAAAAGATTTATAGCTCTCTGAGCTCAGAGGGAATGAGTGAAGGAGGGTTCTAACCTGAGGTTCTCTAAATCAGGCTATACAGTTTTTAAAAGTCCCAAACTTTCCCTAATGTCTAGTCTGCCTCACAAGTAGCATTTAGGATTGTTCACTGCAAACAACAGAAAACAGTTCTGATAAGGCAGTGGATTTAGGGTACTGAGTCTGATAGAGTTGCCAGACAGACAGAGAACCAGGCTTGGAAAATTAGAGATCAAAGGGCCACATGTAACTACCCCTGGGAACCAGAGGCTCCTGTCACACCCTGCATCTCCTGCTCCAGGTTCCCTGACCCCACCGGGAGTGCCTGGTGGCCAGTTGTTCACAGGTCTTCCTAGCTGCTGGGGGTTGCGGGTGGGAGAAGCAGGAGGAAGGTTGGTACAAAGAGTAATTGGTCTTTTTAGCCTTTCCATTTTGGGGGTCAGGGCTTAGTCCTCCTCCCAGCTGCTGATGGCTCAGAAGCTCCATGGTTAACTGTCACACTTCCCTCTGTCCAGCATTGCTCTAAAATAGGGGATCTGTCATAGTTCTTTGACCAACATACTCACTGTATGTACATCCTGAGCATAATTAAAGCAAGCTAACTTCCAATGCTTCATACAGAATTATTTGTTCCACTCGTTCTGCACAGAGGCAGAAAATGACAATGAAAGACTCGATGCTTAATCTACTGTGGAGGGCACTGGAAATTGCCAGGCAGGTGGATAGAAAGTAGGGCATTGATTTATCACTTAGTGTAAGTAGCTTTTTTAAAATTTACTTGTAATAGCTGTTCATTTTATTAGAAACTAATATATTTTTAGAATCCTAAAGGATGGTCCAGACTATAAATGGTTTTTAGTCTGTTTTTACCAAGAATTTCAGAAATATCTCAAAAACATGGTATAATATCCTCCAGTATACTGCGATTAAGAAATATCTTGCAAGCATTCTTCATTATGCCAAGAACAGTGGTGCCAAAGAAATGAACATTTTTAATAGATAAAGGCTGAAGCCTGGTGTTGGTCCAAAAATGAGTCAACAATATGAGTCCATAAAATGAAATATCTTACAAGAAAGCCAGCAATCAATATGCCTCTTTTCAACCCATTATCTTTATTTTACTGATACTATTTTTTTCTCCTTCAGGTGATGTTCTGATTAGTGTTGGCTATGCCAATGTGTTAGGATATACTCTTCGAGAATTTCTAAAGCTTTTGCAACATATCACCATAGGAACAGTACTACAAATCAAGGTTTATCGAGATTTTATTGACATACCCCAAGAATGGGAGGAAATACATGATTTAATCCCTGAGACCAAATTCCCAGTACCATGGTAAGTACTTCACTTTAGGAAGTCTTGGTTGCAATGCCAGGGCCTGGGAAGCGCAGTGTCCTGTTTAATGTAAGATTACAACAAACGGTAAGAGTCATGGCAGGAGGGATTGGTGGCACTGCCAGAATAATCTAGTGAATTTCCAGATCCTTTTGAAAATGACATTCATTCACTAGGACTCCTCATGAGGCAGCAGGATAAAGACAACTTGGAGTTCAAGACCAGGCAGAAGACATCGATGGAAACTTTGTCCCCAAACCTACCTGCAATGTGCACATTTCCACAGTCAGCCCTTTAAAACATATGCTTCCTCTTTTCTCTCTGCATTGTCAACTGCTTTCTCTCTGAATCCTTCCCAATAATACTTAGGCCCTTTTAAGACTCTCCCATTCTAATAAACTTTGCAAATCCACTCCCTGCTCCCTGCCCCCTTCAGCCACTGCCCTGTTCCTTGTTTTCTGTCCCAATTGGTTTAAAGAGCTGTGATAGGCTCTCCATTTCCTTAGGAGATGCACTTCCAGGCACTCCTCAGCCCACTTCCCTCTAGACTTTGCTTGTATCTCTAGGCTGAGAGGCCTCTTCCCAGCATCATTCATAGCCTTCATACCGTGATTCCAATCTTCTCAATCTTTATTTTGCCTGGCTGTTACTATGTATACACTAATCATGTTCAGATTGCATTACCTCCAAATTTGTAACACTAACTTGATATCCCCATTTGGTTTTATTTTGTTTCTTACATTTATTTATTTTGTTAATATATATATTCCCATTTGGATATACCATAAACCCCTCAGACTTATGCTTAAAATCAAAAGGTAGTTCACAGTAGTATTACTTACTTTTGTGTAGCTGTGACCAAAATGTCGACTTTAGGGAGGACAGACTTATTTATTTATTTTTTGGTGGTACTAGTGTTTGAACTCAGGGCCTTACACTTGCTAGGCAGCAGTCTTACCACTTGAGCCACTCTACTAACCTTGTTTTGTGTTGGGTGTTTTTGAGATAGGGTCTCACGAACTATTTGCCCAGGGCTGGCACTGAACTGCAATTCTCCTAATTTCTGCCTCCTGAGTAGTTAGGATTATGTGACTAGGAAAGACCGATTTTGGCTTACAGTTACAGAGGGTTCAGTCCATGGTTGTCTGGCCCCTGCTCTTGGGCAGAACATCATGGTGGCAGGGTCAAGTGGCAGAGTAGTTTCTTTACCTCATGGTTCACAGGAAGCAGAGTGATAGGAAGTGGTTAGGGACAAGATATCCCCAAGGATCTGCCCCCAGTGACTTACTTCTTTCACTAGGTCTTACTTCCTTAGTTTCCAGAGCCAAACAGCCACTAGCTGGGGACCCAGCATTCAACACAAGATTTTTTAGCAGACACTTCCTATCCAAATCATAACACCAACACAAGCCTTTTTGGGGGATACTTCCTATCTAAACCATAACACCAGTGTTCTTCCAGTGGCTCCATCTTATTGGGGAAGTGTTTACCTCGTTGAACAAGCCAGAATTTCAAGGTTTGCTTGATTCTTCCATCTTCCCGTACATCCCTCAACCAATTGCTAAAACTTGTCACTACCTATTGTCTTAAACTGTCCTCTTCTCTCCCTGGCTATTACCATTGTCCCAAAGCCACCATTTGATCTATCTGTATCTGTTCTTGCCTTCTATCAATTTTCTACACAGGATGATCCTTTTATAATCCAAATCTGATAATAGCATGTTCTAGATTAAACATTTTAAGATCTTTTGGTCTTAGGATAAATGCCAAAATCTTTATACTAGTGGATAGTGCTCTCTATGGTCTGGCTTTCTACCTTCACCTCATATTGCTGTCCCCATCCCTCTTGTCCACTTGGGTTTTAGCTTTTTTGTGTTGCTCTTCTGCAACACGTATAGAGGTCTGTTAACTCATCCTTGAAGGCTCACAGTACACACTTTCTCAGAGAGTTCTTCCTATAGCACTAAAAATGCCAGGACCACTTGTCATGTGTGCTTCTGTGTATCTTCTCCACATTGATCCCAACTTTAGTAGTAAGTTGTTTACTACGTTTCCCTGGGAAAATGTATAAACTCCATGAAGCAGGTACTGAATCTGTCTTGTTCTGCTAAACCTACCACGGGACCTTCATGTGGTGGAAGTCTCAGTTAATGAAAGCGTGAATGAAAAATTGAAATCTAGCTTTGAACGTGACAAATCCTTTAAGTAATCTCTGGGAGTTTGCTTCTTTATCTGTAGCACATATGCCAGCGAGTGTTCTTGAGAAGATGTTAAATATGAGGTCCTTTTTTGGTGCTCTGATGCGAGAGCAGCCCTTACTCTCAGGATTTCTGAACATTGATTGTTGTACCTGTGCACTTTTGCCTGTGGGAATGAGCTAAATGACAGATGGCTAGGGGCTTTACTAAGTAGACTAGAAAATGGCTCATATTATGTATCAACTTTACTTCAGAGACTCAAACTTGTGGCCCAAGGGTATTTTGGTTGGCTCCAACAACATTTACAAAACCCATAGCACTAACCTATAGAAAGAAAGATACATGGGGGGGCTTAGATCAGGAGCCAGTAATACTCCAGTTCATTCATTCATTTATTTTGCAGTAGTAGGGCCCTGTACTTGCTAGGCAAGTACTCTATCATTTGAGCAACAGCCCTTTTTGCTTTGGGCATAAAGGTCATCCTCCTGTGTGTGCTTCCCTGTATAGCCAGGATGACAGGCACATGCCATCACACCCAGCCATTCGTTGAGATGGGGGTCTTTTTTGCCAGGGCTGGATCTCAAATCAGGATCTCTACCTCCCAAGTAGCTAGGATTATAGACTTGAGTCACAGTGCCTGGTAACACTCCACTTACTGACCTGGATGGTGGTTACCAAGGTGTCTCTTTATAATTTTTTTCATTTTTCTGCATATTTCAAACTTTAAAAATTGAAAAGTATTTGAATTAGTTGCTAAGTTTATGTGAGATTTCAGGGCAAGAAATCTCTATCTCTGGTTTCTCCTGAAACACCAGAAGATGGGCTACATTCCCACATGGGCTAGGAAGCAGTTGAACCGTTTAGGTCAGTTCTTTCCCCATTTGATCCCTGTGTGGTGTGCTCTGCAACAAGGACCTCACAAGCATTACACCATTCTGTCCTGCCAATTCTTTTTTCTTCTTCTTCTTCTTTTTTTTTTTTTTTTTGTGGTACTGGGGTTTGAACTCAAGCCACTCCACCAGCCCTTTTGTGTGATGGTTTTTTTCAAGATAGGGTCTCAAGAACCATTTGCCCAGGCTGGCCTCCAACCTCAATCCTCCTGATCTCTGTCTCCTGAGTAGCTAGCATTACAGGCATGAGTCACTGATACCCGGCTCAACTTTTTCTTATCATCGTTTTAAGGATAAAAAAGCTGAAGCCCAGAGAAGTGTGTGTAAACTTGTCAGAGGACAGAGTTAAATGGCATAGTTCTTACTCTAGAGAAGCAGTGCCCATAAGACTTTTTGTGGTGATAGAATTATTTCACATGTGAGTTGTTCCATATGCGAGCCACCAGCCATGTGTAGCTATTAAGCACTTAAATGTGGGGACTGCAACTGAAGAATTTTAATTTTTATGCAAGTTTAATCATTTTAACTTAACAGCCACACACAGCTGGAGGCCCCTGTATTGGAAAGAATGATTCTAAAGCCTAAGCTCTTAGCCATTTGCTTATAGAACTGTTCAAACGTTTTCATTACACAGAGGAGTCTGAAATTCAGTATGGCAGACTGACCATTCAAAAACAAAGAGATAAACTTAAGTATAAGGCTAAAGTCCACAAACTTACAGAATACTAAGCACATTCTGAATTCCTCTGTTAATTAAGATAGTATTTATATTTAAGGCATTTTAATGACTAATGTGGAACGGGGCAGGGAAGGAAGAAAAGAGGAAGGAAAAGGCCTCTTTCACAATTAGCAAGGCATCTTTCAGGAGCAGATGGCTGTGTGCACACCGGAGAGGACATTCCAGGTAATGCTCTGGGTATGCCTAGTGTAACAGAAACTTTGTTGACAGCCAACCCTGATTTCTACAAGGTATGGCTTTATTGTCTAATGTCAGTTTAGCAAGAGCCCAGCCCTACTACCTGTCCTTTACCAGCTGTCTAATGCAGTTACAAAGGATACCTCTTACACTCTGAAAAAAGATACCTTGGATTTTTTTTTTTTTATGTGGTATTCAGGAAGATCTGAGTGTGTCAAAACACAAACTTCTGTAGTTCTGAAATTTTCTGAATCTCCTTCACAGACCTAAGCCAAGAACAAAGAAAATTACACCATTTAAAATAATTGGCTCCCAGTAAAAATGACTCAATACCAATTGTGTATTATTAGAAGAGACATACTTTTGGAAAAGCAACTTAAATTCTTGGAAGCAAATAAAACAGGCCAAGAGTATTAGTGGTAACACTAGCAAGTCTGACAGGTTTGTAGGGGCACAGGGAAGAAACCTGTCCCCTAGTAGCAGGACAGAATGTGCCAGGTTGTTTGTCATCATGAAGATCTAGGAAGAGCAGGGGACAGACAGCACTTGTTCTAGGAAATAACAAGCAGAGGCTTGTTGGTAGGTGCCAGCAGGCAAGCACCACCCACGTTTCAACAATGCAGTCAATAGTTGGGGCAAGTTACAGAAAAACCTTTAAAAAGATTTGGATGGCAACAGAGAGGTGAAGTAGTGAATGACAGACATGTGGGTAGAAGTTTGCTCTACAGATCCACACCAGTGAATCCCAAGGAGGCAGATATGCCATGTGTGGCAGTGTCAGGAAGGAAAAAACTCAAAAGACTTATGAATGACTATCATGCTTAAGTCCTTGAGGCTCACAATTTCTGACTCCTTGGGTAATGGGTGCTCTCTTTGGTTATTGTCTTATTGTTACCAGAGATGTGGTTTCTAAGGGCTCTGGTCAGAAGACTGTTTGGCACTTGCATTCCACATGGGAAGAATCCAGGGAAGACACAGAAATGTAGTAATGTTTATTGAAAGAGAGGGAGTTACCCTAAGAAAAAGCACCGGTGGCCCCTGGTCATGTATGATTGAAGCACACACACTGGTCTTTGTTTCCAAGGGCCTTTGTAAATTGAAAGGGCAAATGATCAGTCTTTGCAGGATGAGCTAGGATGATTGACAGGTTTTCTTTCTTTTTGCAGTACTGAGGCTTCAACTCAGGGTCTTCACCTTAAGCCACTCCACCAGCCCTATTTTTTGTGAAGGGTTTTTCGAGATAGGGTCTCCTGGAACTATTTGCCTGGGCTGGTTTGGAACTGCGATCCTGCTGATCTCTGCCTCCTGAGTAGCTAGGATTACAGGCTTGAGCCACCAGCACCTGGCTGATTGGCAGGTTTGATTGACAAGGTTTTGTCATACAACATGGGGCACTCTACCCTTGCACTTATGCTAATCACAGGTATATTTTAGTTTTTGGTGGTACTGAGGTTTGAACTCAGGGCCTACACCTTGAGCCACTCTCCCAGTCCTTTTTCGTGTTGGGTATTTTTGATAGGATCTCAAAATCTATTTGCTTGGGACATAGAACTGCAATCCTCCTGATCTCTGCCTCCTAAGAGGCTAGGATTACAGGCATCAGCCACTAGCACCCAGCTGCCAGCCCTTTTCTGTGTTGGGTTTTTTCCAGATGGGATCTCAGAAACTATTTGCCTGGGCTGGCTTTGAACCACAGTCCTCCTGATCTCTGCCTCTAGAGTAGTTAGGATTACAGACATGAGCCACCAGTGCCTGCTTCAGGTATTATGAGGCTTGCTTTTACCTGAGAAGTAATGGAGGGTGGATTTCCCATGGCTTCCTGTCTAGCAACTGAAAAGCCTCAGCAACTGCTAAGATTTTACAATTAAAAAGAAATTTACTATTCCACAGGATAGCATTGGGTTGAGGGGGGAGGTCTAACATGAAATCCACTGGGAAAAGTCGCAAGGCTCCTGAAAGTCCCACAGCTTCTTTCCTTGTTTCAGTATGACCCATGAGAACTGAATTCTCAGGAGAAGATGGGCAAGTTGAACTTGTGACTCTGGGTGCAGTGAAATTAACACACTCTTTCAGGCCTCCTAGTATTCTGGTCAGTAGTCCATCTTAAGTCTGTGCAAAGGTTTTTAAAGTAGTCTGAAAAAAATCAAGGCAGAATTTATGTTTGACTGGAAAACAATTTAAAGGTACTTTAAAAAATAAAAAGTTTCAATGCTGTAGAAAGGTAGTATTAAAGCTAATTTTTAAAAAAATGAGCTAAAGCCAAGTTATCAATGTTCAGACATTAAGAATCCATTTTGTCATGCATAGTGGCTCACACTGTAATCCCAACTACTCAGCAGGCAAAAAGGTGAGAAAACCCACCTGCAAACTAAAGCCAAAAAAGGGCTGGGAGCATGGCTCAAGTGGTAGAGTGCATGCCTAGCAAGCAACAGGCCCTAAGTTCAAACCCCAGTACCACCAAAAAAAAAGAAAAAAAAAAATCCATTTTATGTACTATTTTTCTCATTTCAGCACACCAAAGAAAACTGAACAGGCAAAAGACGAATCTTTTACAAGCAGCGATGACAATGAAGATGTAGTCATAGATAACAAATTTAGATATTACAGATATCCATGGTCAGTTGGTCATTATCCTGCAAGGAGACCAGTATCTATCTCCAGAGAATGGCATGGATATAAAAAGAAGAGCCATACTATCAGTGTGGGAAAAGATATTAACTCTGATGTGGTGATTCACAAAGACCACCAGAGAGAAGTGAGAGCCCCTTCTCCATATTGGACAATGGTGAAGACAGACAATGAAAGCTCTTCCTCAGCCTCCTCTACCTCAGACGCCTTTTGGATGGAGGACTATGCCCAAGCTGAGAAGGGCAAAGGTCAACCAATATCCAAGGATGATTAGGCAGCAGTTTGTGATCTGTGGTCATTAGAGGATTTACCTGAAAACACCCAATGTTTGTGCCTCACCATGTGTGCATGTCTGAAGGAATATTTATAGGAAAATGTGTAACTTGTGCATTGTCTCTCATGACTGCATTGAAAAGCTTTTAGAGACCTTCTTCAACATGATAGCTAAAGACTGCCCTGGCCTCACAAAATTTGTTTTCAAAAGAAAGCGTAATTAAGACCCTCCTGAGAATTCATTATCATTTAGAAAATACAGAGGAACCTAGTAACAGAATGTCTGAACATAGTAGAGAACTTCACTTTTTTAAGGTAAATACATTTTCTTTAAATATTCTTTAGATATTCTTTGGCTAACTGTTCACATTAGAAATCTCTCCCCCTCTTCCTTTTAACCCTACTTGAATGTTGGGCTAATAGCTAATTATCTGGAAGAGACTGGATTGAAAGAGGTTAGGGAGAAGGAGAAAAAAGTGGCCCAGTGACAAATAAAATTAATAGGTATACAGGATTTGATTCATAGGGAATTTCTGTTTTTCAGAAATAGTTTTATTGTACCCAAGTGGTGGTGGCACACCTATAATAATCCTGGCTACTCAGGAGGCAGACATCAGGAGGATCACAGTTGGAAGCCAGCCTGGGCAAATATTTGTGAGACCCTATCATGAAAAAAAAAAAAACCCATCACAAAAAGGGCTGGTGGAATGGCTCAAATTGTAACCTGAATTCAAACCCCAGTACTAGAAAAAAAAAAGTGTTATTGTGAAAAAGGGGGCAAAAACCAGATCTCTTACTGCTGTCATCCCAAAATAAGAGATTTTTCAACGTGTATTTATTTATTGGTACTGGCGTTTGAACTTGGGTCTCACACTTGCTAGGCAGGTACTCTACCTCTTTAGCCACTCAACCGCCCTCAACTTGATTTTAATCTTAAAAAGCTACCAATAGTCTGGGAAATTTTACGCTGATAGCTGCTTAGCGTTAATGTTAATGGTTTCTGATAATTTTTTTTTGGTTTGGTGGGTCTAGGATGTGAACACAAGGCTATCCATTTGCAGAGTAGGAGCTCTACCACTTGAGTCCTAAGTTTCTGATAATTCTTAATTGATATAATTACTTAATTGATATTCAATTATCATGTCCTTTAGAGCATCTAAAACAAAGATCTTGGCATATAATAAATACTCATTTACTAACTAGGAAAAATTCAAGGGCTGGTTGTAGGTGTGGCTGAAGTGGTAGAGCACCTGCCTAGCAAGCACAAGGCCCCGAGTTCAAACCTGAGTACTGCCAAAACAAACAAAAAACACAGGAAAAACATTTAGACAGAATGTTTTATTGACTAGGTCAGCTGGGAATAACTACCTGCATTTATGGTTTATGGTACTTTACCTCATCAAGAAAACAAATGTTAAATTACAGACTTTTGACTTTAAGGTGTGTGCTGGTCTGAGAAAATGTTCAGCTCTCTTCCATGAATATGTGCTTCAGTGTTACAATTCATCAACAAAAGGTGTATGCCCCAAATTTCCACTTGCTGCCATTGACTTCTGGCCAGAAACAAACTTCTGTGCAGCCTTTAAACAAACAGAAAGTTAAAAGAAATAATGTGTCATCAAGTAAATAAACTTGTCATTTAAACAATTTATGGAGAAGATATTCTAAGTCAGCAATTCTATAATAGCCTCTTACAATGAAAGTTAACTAGGAGATGGCTAGTGATTTATTTTGTTTGATGATCATCATCATATGTGTAAATGACCAAGCAACAGTACTAAGTACTTTTGATAAGAGAATAGCTTTGTAAAGGGGAATAAGAAAAACCTCACTGACACTGCAAAATAAGGCAGGCAGAATGGCTTCAGGCAGGGTTGTACTTGATTCTGTATTACAATGGCAAATAGTCTGGGTCAATCAAAATACTTTGTTAATACAGAAGTCAAAATTTATAGTCTTGTCTCTTTCTTCCATCTCAGATTTTAAATGTAGAAAGGACAGGGAAAACCCACTGGCTTTAGATTATTCTGTAGTTCATATGCTTTATTAGGCACAGTGGGGAATACAAAGAAGTCTTAGTCCTAGCTCTCAAAATAACTCAATTTTGTAGGGAATAATAATAATAATATATGTGGAAAAAAAACCTAAAGCAGGAGAATGTCTTAGGCTGAAAAGAGTAAAGAAAACCTTGAGATGCTGGATGAAAGATTGGCAAAATGAGTTTGAGTGATATCTTGAGAGTGAAGAGGAAAAAATAGCCACAAATTATTCAAGTTGAATCATATGAAACTGCCAGTATTAGACTCTTTCTTAATCTCTAAGATTTTAAACTGATTTAAACCAATGAGGAATCTACATACATCTATGAGTTGACACTTAAAAGTAATAAGCACTTCTGCCTCCATACTAGGAAGAGGCACAAAAGAGCTCAAGAATAACACATAGAACCCAAGGAAGCTCAGGCAGTCCTTCTGAAATTGGATCATTAAAGATTAAGTTCTCCAATGTTAAACAGCGAGATTTCATTTGCTTACATTTATGACATCAGCATCAGTCACTAAGTCAATTTGCTGAAGGACGGTGGAGGGTGGCACATAAGAAGTACCAACTAGAGCCTGGGACCCAACTTCATCCAGGAAACCCTCAGAAGACTCTATGGACATTAAGTATCCAGCCTTCAGCTTGTTCCTGTTGATAAAAGGCAGGAGTCAGTTTTATACAGCAAGGCAATTATAAAGTATGTTATTCAAACTCTGCAATGTTTTTGGTAAACAGGAAAATTAACAGCTTTAAGGTCTTTGTTCTATGTCTTCAGTTCACAAAATACTGTATTATTTATATTACTATCTGGAAAGCTGTCAATACAAAACTGTACTGAAAACTCAACAGACTGCCTTTTATTTTGGACTCGAACTTAGATCTAGGTAAAACTATTTTAATGTGAGGTTTTGATTTATGAAGCAACTCTTGCCTTGTGATACATTTTTAGTGATAATTTCAAACATCTCTATTAAAGAGGAATCTACCTATGTGGGCTCATAAGGCACTGTCTGCTGTCAGACTACTATCTGCTGACTATACATATATATGGAAACAGATACATACATATTTTATCAAGTGCTATTTCTCCACTGGGATTTGCTTCAATGAGGGTATAGCACGATGGAGAAGGCAGGTGGAGAAGGACACTGCAAGTCTTCTAAGCCCCACAGCTTAAGTTAGGGCACAAAAGCATCAATTTGAAATAAAGTAAGACAAAATCCAATCCACAATTCTATAAAGAAACTGTTATTACTTATAAACACGATGTTCAAAAAGTACTTGAGTTATGTATACCTCATCCTTTGGCAAGACTTCAATTTAAATGTAATTATAATTCAAATTTTACCACACTGTCACCTTAATTTTTTATTAAAAGGACTTTTACCTGTAATAAACTTTATGAAGAGGTTATTAGTTTATCCCTTTAGCACTGACATTTTTTCTCTCTCATTATAGGAAGACTAAGAACCTTGTAAGAAAAATTATCAACTCCATCAAAATGACAGAAAACAAAAATACTTTGACATTAATAAACCAAATTTTATTTTCCACCTTATAAGAACTGCTACATTTATTAAGAAAATCATTTTTGGGGAGAGGGAGAAACAAGAAAATAAATTTTCATTTCTGGTACATCCCATCATTCTCTGGTTTCATGTAAACATTTCAGACTTTTTTTTGTTTTTTGGCGGTGGTGGTACTGGGGTTTGAATTCAAGGCCTTGTGCTTGCCATGTATACATTTAATAAATTGTGTGTACTTATTCAAGAGATACAATTTTGTAGTGTGATCAGAATAACAAAACCACAGTAATGGAAGTAGAAATAAGTAAGGTTGTTTCATCCTGGGTTGTAATTCACCTTTTCATACTTCCCCTGTGGGCAATACTAAATGATCATAAAGACCCTTCTGAGCTACAGGATCCCAATTTCCAATTGTCCTAAGTAGATGAAGTCAGATTTAAATGCCTTAAACTGTATGAAAATGCAGGTTGATTTTTAACTTTGTGCAACATCAGTTTCTTTTTGTAAGAGAAACTCCCTGAAGGGCTAATGAATTAGGTGTGGTGGTGTTAGCACATTCAATCTGGACAGTGGGAATTAAAAAAAAAATCACCAAATACCACATAAGTATTTTAGTCTTTCTTATAAAACTACAGTATCCTAAAGATACACAGTTGGGAATTTACCAAGGTGCCTTGGTATCTGGAGAGAATTAGTTCCAGGACCACCACAGATAACAAAATCCACAGATGCTCAAGTCTTTTGTATAAAATGGCATAGTACTGGCACATAACCTCATGTACACACACTATTTAAGTAATAGCTAAGTGTAAATATACAGCATAACACTGTTCAAAAATACATGGTCAAGAAATTAAGCAAAATTATTAACAATTATATTTCTAGATAGCAGGATATGGGTGTTTTCCTTTTTATTTATTTTTGAGATGCTGGGGATTGAGCCCAGGGCTTTGCACATGGTAGGCAAGTTTCTTACACTGACTTTCCCATACATCTTTTATTTATATATTTACTTATTTATTTTGTGGTACTGGGGTTTGAACTCAGGGCCTACACCTTGAGCTACTCCACCAACCCTTTTTGTGATGGGTTTTTTCGAGATAGGGTCTCAAGAACTATTTGCCTGGGCTGGCTTCGAACCATGATCCTTCTGATTTCTGCCTCCTGAGTAGCTAGGATTACAAGTGTGAGCCACCAGCACCCGGCTATGTACTTCTTAACCCTTATGAGCATACAATATTGTTGTAACTACAAAAATTACAACTTCCAAATTACTAAAACATGAAACACACAGTTAATAGGTAAACTTACTTGGCAGCCTGGACATCTACACTGGAAAGGTTTCCTTGAGCAACTGTTTTTACTTGGTTGTAGGCAGCCTTGATAACCTACAACACACAAGTAAGTGTTAGTCATTTTTGGCCAGTGCCAGAGGCAACCAGCACTCCTTACTAAGACAAAAACACAACATGGGAGGTTAGTTCCAGAGAAACAGCAGAGTCCGTTGGGAATTCTATCATTACTATATATTCCTTAAAGCAGTTGTTTGTACAACTTGTCTTATCCAAGCAGCCAAGCTTCTCACAGAACTTAAGTGGCAGAGGGGAGACGATGGCCAAAGAGAATGGGTCTTCCTTAGGCAAACACATGGATTTGTCATCACATACAAAGAATAAGCATCTCTAAAATTTCTCCAGACTCTCACAGTGTCAATTTATAACATTCTTACTTTTCACTTCTCTATGGGGCTGTTCATACTTGCATTGCTAGTCAAGAAGGAACTGAGTTCCAGTAACATGGTGTTTGGTAAATATTTGCTGGTCAAATAAATTTAGTCACTTTCATAGCCACTCCCCAGACTTGAACATAATCTAGACCTGCCCTAGGTTATGAAATCCCCTAAAATTTGAAAACCCCCATTTCCAAAGCCCTGACCTCAGGGCTTTTTTGTTTGTTTGTTTGCAGTGCTAGGGATTGAACCCTGGGGCCTTGCACATGCTAGGCTCAACCACTTGAACCATGCCCCTAGTCTTTTTTGGTTTTGAGACAGTGTATCACCATTAACCTTTGCTGCTTAGGGTGGTCTCAAAACTCAGATGTTCCTACCTTTGCCTCCCAAGGAGCTGAGATTTCAGGGATGGATACCATGCCCTATCTGGCTTCAATCTTTAATCATGCTGTCCTTATTCTTTTACTCTCCCAAGATCTCTAGTGCCTTGATGTATTTACTTCCTTGGGCTTCTGTCTGGCCTAGATCCAGGCATCATCCTTTTTATCACTCTTGCTAGTGCTCCCAACTCCTTATTATCTTCCTCCTGCTTCTGACCTGCCCAACTTGGCAGGACTACAACCTGGGATTAGACCTACTACTTGTCTCCCTCATTTTCCATTAGTGGTTGATTACACTATGAACCCATGGTCACCCATTTTCAAGGAGACACCCACACTTCTGTTACTGTCCACTCTGTGCATTTAGCCATTTGTTCCAAATCCCATGCTTTTCCTTCAACCTTCCTCCTCCCTTCTCTCACTGTCAAACATGACAGCCTCCTACTTTATGAAGCATACATTTCCTTATCTTCCCAACATTAGCCTTTATCTCTAAGGCTATAACATCCACTGTTTTATGGATCCTACTTGTTCTTGCTTTTCCAAATTTGAGCCATTTATCATTTCAGAACTCCTCTTTCTATTCCATTCTATTTTTTCTTAAATGACCATTCTCTTCCAACTTAATCCACTTCTGTAACTATCAGCCTCCTCTCTGTGTGAGCTTTTACTTGCTTACATCACCCTCTCATTTCAAACTAAACTTTAGTTCTGGGGAAAACTGGTAAGATCACCAATGATGTTTGTACCAGATTTCTCTGTGGTAACTAATGGGATGCTAATTCATAGTGGATCAAAACGGTGTTAACCACACTCTTTCCTGGCCTCCAAATATACCAATTTCTCTTCTTTTTCTTTGCCTTTCCAGCCACTTTCCTTAGTCATTTGTCCCACAAATGGTATTGTTTCCTATAACCTAAGCTTCAATTTTTTTCTCTTTTACCCATAACCCTGAGGTCAACAGTCTCTACTGAGGACCCATGCATATGCACCAAGATAAACTTCAATGGTATCACATTACAGAGACCTTGGATGTATAATGGCATTCAAATATTCCATGTTTACTTGTTTATTTTTTTTGTGGTAGTAGAACTTGGACTCAGGGAGGGCCTTGTATTTGCTAGGCAAATGTTATTTCATTTGACCCATGCCCCTAGTCCTTTTGCTTTCATTATTTTTAAGAGATGGGATATAGCATTTTTGTAGGGGCTGGTTTTGGACTGTGATCCTTCTACTTACATCTCCAGCAGCTGCAGCCTGGGAGATAGTATAAATTCCAAAGAGTCCAGAATCTGAATAAATGGCATTAAAGGCAGAAACCTGAAACATAATGAAACTTTATTGTATGATATTCTACCATAAAGTTGTCTAGACAAAAACTTATACCTTTACAGTATAAATGAAATAGATTAATATTTAATATTAATATTAAAATAGATTAATATTAAGTCCTTTCAGGGGCTGAAGAGTTCTCTACACAGGGCACCTCTTTCAGAACTGCAATGGTTTTTAAGTTTTCCATTCAAATCTTTCTAAACTGACTGCTTTTTTGCAGAGTATTTGCTAACTTTCGGATGATTAAAGACAGACATTATCATAACATATTGCAAACATTACCATAACATATAGTATGGCTAAGTGGTATAGAGATCAGTGGCCTTTGGCACCTGACAAATCCAGTTTCTTTTTTCTGCTGTTGGTGACTTTTTCAACCAATTTGTTTTTACTACTCCTGTGCACTAAAGTCAAAGGATAAGAGAAAGATTTTGCTTCATGGCCATTATCTAGATGTCCAAGGTAACAGTAAGTTTAGCCTCTGGATAAAGATATATTACTGTCTGGAGTGTGAGCAGTTTCAAGATCCTTAAGGCAAAACTGATTGTCAAGTACCTTGTTTTGCAGTGTTTATATGGACCACATACATAAAAAAACTCCTCAGTTGTTATTAAACGTACAGACTTTCAGATTCCTGCTACACATGTGGATGCATTTGAGGAAGCAGCCTGCAAGTTCACATTTTTAACCATGTTGCAGATGACTCTTATGCACATTAAAGTTTGAAAACCATTGGTTTAGTCCATGTAAAGCATACAAAAGAAAACACTTCAGTTACTTCAAGTTTAGTTATAATTCTAAGGCTATCCTAGTTACACTCCAAACTTATGGCCTAATTCTGAAACAGCAATTTTTAGTAAATTATGTCACTGGATTAGGATTAAACTCCAGCCACACAAAACCTTCAGTAACATTCAATGGTAAAAAGCTCAGCATTAAGAAAACATAATCTCTTGGATTATTAACCAAGAGAAAGACAATCTGGAGGAAATTAAATCAGCAAAATTTAATTTTGGACTAATTTAAGAAAATGGCTTTCAAACTATGCTCCAGGGAACCCTAAAACTCCATAGAGAAGATTCAAAGAGGTTCACACTCAAGGAAGCCTTCAAAATTTCTCTGAAGCTAAAACTTTTGTGTTACACATTACAGCTGGAAGTCATATGGAAAGAAAAGGTTCCTTAAAAAAGACAAGTTTTTTAAAAAAGACAACTACCACTCAAATACTAAACAGAAAAAAAAAACAGAATATTGACTTTAATTTCTATTCTTAAGTGTCAAATAGCCAGAGACTTACTGATATACTGATCTAGTACATGATCCATGTACTATAGCAGAAACCATGACCAACATTCACTCCTACAGATCATTATGTCCGTTAGCTTTTAAAGGCATGCATGTGGGATTATTTATACTGGACAAACAATGCTCACTCATTAAATAATACTTTGTTGGCTGACAGTTTATATTCTCCTGCTTATTTCTAAGCATTCAAGTCCCCTTTTTAAAAGAACTGAAAAGACAGTACATTTTTGATAGATCCTCTAAGGTACTAAAACCAAGCCTATATACATATTTTCTATTTGTTTACCTTAAATTTTAACAGCAGATTAACATTAAGAGCAGATTATTAAGACTATATCATAAATACTGAGCTTCTGAAAACAAAAGGAGAAATATCACTGCTCAGACTCACATCAAAGGGCTGGTGATTTCCTTTGGCAATAGCCTGGTGTAGGAGGCTGGTAGCATTGCTGCCCCTCTTGACATGTGGTCCAGCACCAAGGACATGCTGAAGAACACTAAATGCATTTGCTTCTGCACTTCCTACGGCAGCACTTTCTGCTACCACAGCAGCATGGACAAGGCTGTCTCCATTCTGCTCTCGAATTTCACCTGGGGCCATGTAAGGAGAAAGTGAGGAGAATGGCTTTTGTTTTATTCATCAGTATTCCCCATGACACAGTATTATTAAGATTAAGCTTTCTGTGACCCTGTGTTTTCCATAGGTCATCCTACCGTAACACACACACACAAAACATGTTTAATATACAACACCCAAGCTGTCCAATCCTTTTCTTCTGTACTGAGATGGTTTGGTAGTAAATAATCAAGTCTACTGTACCCCAACATGCTGTTCTAGCAGAGATACGTCCTTCTGATATGTTAGCAAACCTAAAAGAACAGAATGCTTACCTCCCCGGTATTTGGCTTTTGCACCAGGTAAACCAAGCCCACCCCTCATGTTGAGAAACTGTTCAGCAATTTGCTTTAGGACAGGATGACTCACACCTGTTTGAAAAGAAAAACAAAGCTAGAACTAGAATTTCTAAGACATAATTATAAAATATCTACTATTGTTTCCTTGTTTTAAAATACATGATAGATAACAGGACTGGTGGTGTGGCTTAAAAGGTAGATCACCTGCCTGGCAAAGTGCAAGGCCCTTGCAAGCCCAAGTACCACCAAAAAAAAAAAAAAAAAAAAAAAAAAAGAAATAAACACTGGCGGGGGGAGGTGGCTCAATGTATACATATGTAAGTAAATGTAAAAACGATAAAATTTTAAGAAAAGAGAAAAAGAAACAAAGAAAACATGAGTTTTCCCAACATAATACCACTTTCCCAGATACCAATTTACAGTTTACTATTATACTGTTTACTATTGTATTCATCCGGAATTTTTTCAGTATAGTTATTATTAATATTATCCTTGTTTTCTTTTACCTTTGTTCTCTTTTTGGTGGTACTGGGTTTGAATTCGGGGCCTTGTCCTTGCTAAGCAGTGCTCTAGCACTTGAGTTATTCTCCCTTTCAGCCTTTACTTTTCAGGTAGAGTCTTGCTTTTGCTTGGGCCTTGGACTGTCATCTCCTACCTATGCCTCCTGCATACCTGGGATTACAAATGTGAACCACCATGCTCTGCTTATTGAGATGGGGTCCTGCTAACTTTTTGCCTGGGTTGGCCTTGAACTGTGATACCCCCCAATCTCCATCTCCTGAGTACTGGGATTACAGGCTTGAACTGCCATGCCGGGCCCCATTTTTATTTTCTTTTGGTGCTGGGCTTTGAACACAGGGCCTAGAGCAGGCTAAGTACATGCTCTACTACTCAGCTATGCCCCCTGCCCTTGTCTTTAAAATGGTGTCATTCTATTGTGTTTCTAATTTGCCTCTCATAATTTGTCAAACACTTAATGGTTATAAAGTATTCCACTCTATGAATATACCATAATTTATTTAATTAATGCCTCTGTGATGGACTTTAGCATATTTCTAATAGTTGGCTATTAAAATAATACTGCATTGAGTATCAAAGGGCATAATCAAGAGTGAAATACAACCCATGGAATGGAAGAAAATATCTGCAAATCAGGTATCTGATAAAGGTCTATCTAGTATCCAAAATACAGAAAGAACCCTTACAACTCAAAAGTTAAGAAAACAACCTTGTTAAAAAATGGGTAAGACCTGAACAGCCATCTCTATAAAGAAGCTGTACAGATGGCCAAAAAGCACATGAAAAGATGATCAATGTAATTTGTCATCAGAGAAATGCAAATCAAAACCTCAGTGACCACTTCACACCCACAGGATGGGCATATTCAGAAAAATAGTAAGATAGTAAGTATGAGGATACAGAGAAATTGGAATCCCTGTGCACTACTAGAGTGAATATAAAATGGTGGAACTAATTTGGAAAACTGGTATTCCTCAAACTGTTAAAAAGAATTACCATGTGTGTTGGCAATTCTACTCAGAAGCATATATTAAACGAAATGAAAAGGCATTCTAAGAAAAACTTACAAATGAATGTATATATTTACTATTGCCAAAAGGTGGAAACAACCCAAGCGTCAACAAATGGATAAACAAAATGTAGTATTTTCCTACCATAAAAACTAACAGTGAAACATGCTACAATATGGATGGACCTTGAAAACTAATGTATGATTCCATTTGTATGAAATTCCCAGTGACTGCTTATGGGTGTGGAGTTTCTTTGGGGATGAAGAAAATGTTCTGAAATTAGATGCTGGTAATTGCATGCTCTCTGAATTTATTAAAAACCACAGAACTGCATACTTACACTCTGCCACTGAGCTGTATCCCCAGCCCTAGGACAAATTCTTAAAAGAAAAATTGCTGATCTAGGAGTATAAACATTTAGAATTTTAAAAGATACATTCAAACACACCTCCAAAAATGTGCCAACTTACACTCCTACCAACAATTTTTGACAGTACCTATTTCTCCATACCCCAGTTAATACTAGGCAGGATCAAACTTTTAATGTTTGTCAATCTCACAGATTAAAAATTTTATTAATTATTAGTGAGGCTGATCATCTTATAAAATTACTGTACCTCCCCACCCCATTTTCCCTATGAATTCTGTTTGTGCCCTTTGCCTATTTTTCTACTGAAGTTGTACTTCTTTTTTAATAGATAGCTTATAAAAGCTCTTTCCTTAGAGAAGTTCACCCTTGTCAGAGGTTTTGCACATACTGTAAAGAAAATAAGTATAAATCACAATATTAATTATTGGAATCTGTGTTCCTAACAAATGATTAGTAATTAACATCTCATCATATATTGCTTGTCTGACATAGTTTTCAAATTTTGTTCAATCCTATGTTCATATAATTACATTTTAAAGTACTGTTTTCGCTGGCCATTGGTGGCTCACGCCTGTAATCCTAGCTACTCAGGAGGCAGAGATCAGGAGGGTCACCACTGAAAGCCAGCCTGGGCAAATAGTCCACCAGTACCACAAATAAATAAGTAAATAAATAAATAAAAATAAAGGATGCGCTTAGGGAAGCAATCTGATATGCAGGCAATTCCCAACTTACCAAGTCCAACCAAAGCCATTCTTGCACTTGTAAAATGGTTCTGAACAAAGTGATGTAACTGAGAAAGTAAAGCACATTTGTTAGGTTATATTGGTGAAACTATTAAAACACACTAGTACAGTATGGCAGGAAATAAATACCCAGGCTTAAATGCTACTGTAATGACTAACTTGTGTTGAAGTATACTGGAATTTAACTATAAAAATTATTGATTAAAGGAACTAGAATCCACCAGGTGTGGTGGTGAATGCCTGTAATCCCAGCACTTGGGAGACTGAGGTGAGAGAATCCTAAGTTTGAGGTTACCCTGTGCTACATAGTGAGATCCTGTCTGAAAACAAACAAACAAAAACCCTAGAATTTAATTATCATTATGGCTGCACAACTCTATGAATATAATGAAAACCCTGAATTATGCACTTTAAATAGAATGTATGTTATATGAATTGAAACCAAAGAAGTCCATTATTAAAAGGAATGAAAGGAAATTGGGGTATACATTGACTTGAACTCAAAAGAATATGACTCAATTTATGATTTTTACAATATGGTTTAAGCAGTACAACTGGATTCTTGTGTCTTTACCCAGGCAGTAATGAAGTACCATAAACAATCTATGGCAGGCCTAACAGAGTTCTATCACCACCATGCCCATTTTTGAAATCAGTCTCCTCAAAGATTTTCTTGCTGAGGTCACTGTCAGTATAAGAGTTTCCAATCTGTGATAATCCAATCTGAATTATCATAGAATTACCTATGGATCTTAAAAAAACAAAGCCAAACACTATCACTGTCCCCCTACTCCCACCCTATTTCTGAGACCTACACTATAGACTGATATCTTAGAATCTTTAAAACTAACCAACTACCCATCCATCCAATCCAACATCCAGGTTGATCTGAGGATCAGTGGTATTTGGGAATCACTGTTTATAGTATTAACTTAGGCTTAATTTACAAAAGTAGGACTAAATCATGTATTCTCAACAGGAGAGGTACCTCCAGGGAGCTGAAAATTGGTTCTTGGAGGGGAAAAAAACAAAACAAAACAAAACAAAACAAAAAACCTCACTCATTTTACATATAAAGTACAAATGTATATATACATATGTATAAATATACATAACACATGCAATACATACATACACATATGTACACACATATACATATAAATATATAACACAGGTAGACATACAGTATCTGTGGTATTAAAAATCCTTGAGAAATTTTCCTTGGGGAGGAAAGGTAATAAAAGGTGGTAATGATGAGAAAAACTGGCTAAAATAAGGAGACTAAACTTTTCATCAATTTCTCAGAAGCTATGCACTAAAATGATGGTAGACATCTATGGAGTTACCTTGGAAAGTCATATTCTTTTCTTTCAATAGAAGCTGCCATCGTTCAAAATATTCTACCACCAATTTCTTTAGAATTCCCTTTAACATAGTGGCACGTTTAATAAAATACTAAGTAACTTTGAAAGAACCAAATTATCCAATGTACGCTGGTATCTGTTTTTAACACACATAAGCCTTTAAAAAAATTTTAAAAAAATTTTGTTTCTTTTTATGTTTCCTAATTCATAAATTACTTATCTTTAACAATATGCTATGGAATTTTTATATATCAGTTAATATTTTTGAATGGTTCAACAGTGTGCAATTCTACAGACATACGGTAATTAAGTTAATCTCTCAATGCTAGACATTAACTTGTTTCTAATTTTATACAATTATAAGACAGTGCTATGCTGGACATCCTTGAAGATAAATGTTTTATTCTGTGCATTTTTTTAGTTACCTCAGTGATATTTCTTCACAGGGTAAGTTCGATTTCTGAAAAATTTCAAAACTTATTTATTAGAAGCCAGTCTTATGAAAAGTGATGCCTGTTCAAGTTGGATAGTATGAGTTATAATTTTTAGATAAAAGTAACATTGGAATGGTGGACATTAAACTGGTAAGTCAAAAGAGAAAGGGATATAGTTTAGTTTTCTGTAGGAGCTAACTAGAAATGAAATGAGAATAAAAACCTTAATTTCTTTGAAAGTGCTGGTAATTCCAAAATTAAGCAGGTGGTAGAAGCAGGAAATTAAGATTGTATGTACCAATCTATGCTTGCAAACTCCACACATTCAGTGTCTGCTGTGACATCTGACAAATCTGTACTGCCAGCACAGAGAGGCTGATGACGGAACAGGAAGTAAGGAAGTAGGTTTCATTCTTGCCTCCATATTTGGAAAGACCAAATATTTTAGTGAAGCAATTTACTGTGATATTTAACCACTTAATTGTTGCTTTAAAAAGATACATATACACAGAAAAGGATGTGGAAGAAAATCTATCAGTGTTAACACTCAGCACCTATACTTATGCAAGATACTTCTTTTCCTTCATTTAGATTGTCTTCATTTTCAGATTTTTCTGTAATGATCATATCCTTTTTGTCTTTTTTTTTTTTTTTTTAACAGTACTGAGAATTGAACACAGGGTCTTGTTCTTACTAGGCAGGTGCTCTACCATTTGAACTACACCTGCAGCTCTAAAAATGATTTTTTACATTAGAAGATATACAAAAATTGTTCAGATAGAATTTTGATCATAAAGCAAATCATGAGGAAAAATAGGCAAGTAAGATCAATTTCTTACAATTAGGAAGTATAAAGAAACATTAGCAAATACCCTAAAATGACAGACAAATGTTCAGTTTAACGTGAAAACAAGGATGTTTTAAAATGACCTGTTTTACTAATTACCTCGTCGGATGTCACTTTTCCAATCCTATAGTCAGGACAGTACAAGGAATTGGCCAGTGCACTCCTATAAGCAGCAGCATGCAAATTCTCAATGACATCTGTAAGACAGATGAGTAAACAAGCAGTTACTAAAACGTAATTTCAGCAGAGACAACAGTATTTTTAAAAACAGACAGCAACAAGTCTGTACAAATTTGGGACTAAAGTAGTAAGAGGATGTGAAATTTTATCATTATTTAGCCTCTAAATGATAATACAAGTTTTCACCATAAAGACACAATGTTTGAGAAGACACGTTTAATCCAATTTGAACATTATGCAATGAATACATGTACCAAAATATTACATGGTACCCAGTTAATATGCACATTTTTTTATGTAGAAGTTAAAAAAAAAGAAACACAAGAGGTGGACTCAGGTCAGGTGACAAAAGGCCATATAGACTAGGCTGAAGGGTTTGGACCTCATTCCATAGATAGATATTAAGTTGTCTTTAAAGGATTTTCATGTTAGAAGGATCACTGTTAAGGACTAAAGTTGCAAACCTGGAGGTACAGACTAGAGCAGTCTGAGACTATATAGTAACTGTTTATTCAGAAAAGATGAGGGCTGGAACTTCACTGCTACTTGTGGGAAGAAGCCACTTTAGACATGTGAGTCATCTTTTCTACGACTCTGCCATTCTATTTCTTGGTATAGGTGCTGAGCAACAAAGATCACATTCCTCTGTGACACAATGCATCACTTTGCGATGCCATTAGTGATATGAACCAAACACTATGTTTCAGTCACTTGACAGGATCCTATCTGGACAGGCCTGCATTCTCAATGAAGCCTGTGTCACACTGAGCCCCTAGAGCTGGGCTCCTACTGTGGTTTACCTGCACATTTCTGCTCCCACCAGAAGTTGTGCGACTTCTAAAGAGTTGGCAGGCATTGTTTGTTTACAGATTTGTTTTGACAGCTGTACTTGTCAAGATAATATAATGAAGCATAAAATATGAATTAAAAAAGTTCTTTTAAAAAAAAAATTAAGTAGCTTGCTTTTGAAAGACACAATAATGGGGAGTTGATTAAATAGTAATAGTACAGCAATAAGCTACCAGCAGAAAAAGTGAAAATAAACTGCTGCTGGGTTTGGTGTAAATGAAACAACTTAAATAAAAGAATACACTTAAATAACTGAACAAATTTTTAATAAAGGTATTTTCAAACCCAAGTAGAAAAAAATTTCAACAGCAATATTTTTTCTCTGTAAGATGGTCTTCTCAAAAGCCAGTATTTTAGAAACAACTGAATATAATCTGAAAATGTACTTACGAGCCTGTGGGTTCTGAAAAGCCACAGCCTTGTCAATCCTTAGCTGAGACTGAAGAGCAGCTACTTCCCAGCGACGAAATTCTGGTGCTGTGGTGACATTGAGCAGGAACTCCATTAGAATCTCACTATAGAAAACATCAAGATAAAGTACAGGTTAAAAATTTAAACCTTCAAAAGGCTACATAACTGCAATGTTCTTTACATTACACTTTTAGGCCTCGTGGTTAGGAGTGTTATGAGCACAAGGTTTGTGAACAATAATCTAAAACCAACGTCAGACAAAGATGAACTGAGCAGTTATTTTATAAAAAGCCAATGTTGTAAACACATGCAGGTACTTACGTATCACCCCGCAGGCATTCCACAGTGTATGCCATGCTTTCTCGTGTTGCAGTCACACTGAAATGGAAACAGTGAATTTTTATCTGAATCAGAATAAATTTTTTTTTTTTGTTTTTAGGTACTGAGGTTTGAACTCAGCACCTACCCCTTGAGCCACTCCACCAGCTCTTTTTTGTGTTAGTTTTTTTGAGATAGGGTCCCACCAACTATTTGCCTGGGGCTGACTTCAAACTGCAATCCTCCTGATCTCTGCCTCCTGTGTAGCTAGGATTATAGGCATGAGTCACCAGTGCCTGGCTGAATAAACTTTTTCTTACATCTTCTTTGTTAAATGAACCAATTCCTTTGGAAAGTTTTTGAAGTACTATCAAGAAGTACAAATAGCAATGTATATATGTTAACTAAAATTTAAAAATACTGAAAAAAATTTTAAAAAATGGCAAATAAATCAACCTTAAAAAGGAATAAAATTCTGCAATATATCCATATTGAACCCTGTGGACTGTATACTAATGAACTAAGTTACCAAAGGACAAATACTGTATGATTTCATTTACACAAAAAACCTAGAAGAGTTAAAAGTCAGAGACAGAAAACACAAAGGGGTTGCCAGGGGCTCAGGGAATGATGGGAAAGGGAAGTCACTGTTTAATGGGCACAGAGTTCCAGCTGGGATAGACTATACGGTTCCAGACATGGATGGTGGTAATGGTTGCTGCAGGTCACTTAAGACCACAGAACTGAAACTTAAAAACGGTACATTTTATGGCATGTGTATTTTACAATAAAAAAATGACAAATGAAGCTGAAGATCTCTTTTATGGTCTTCATAGGCCAATTCCCTCATTCTTCCCCATTCCAGAAACTATTATCATAAGTACTCTGTATTTAAGTTCTTCCACACGGATATTCAGATCTAGCTCACTTCCTAACTGCTATGGAGTAATTCCATCCACATGACTATATTATACTTTAGCCATTACCCTGAACATTTAAAGTTTTTAGTTTTTCAATGGTCTTTACCTTTGTGTATGTGGATTAAAAACTATTGAACTTTTGACTATTACTAGGTGATTCCTGATCATTTTCTAAGTAGTTGTATCAATTTATACTTTACACCAGCACAATAAAGAGATTCTCCACCTCCCTTATCTCTGCCAGATTTTTAAAAAATCTGATGGATGTGAAATGCTATCAATCACATTGCTGATTACAAAGACTGGTGTTTCTGGCTTCCTGTTCTGGGAATAAGCTTTTCCTATCCTTTGTCCATTCCATTTCTCTTTGGCTATTTTTTTTTTTTTTTTCTTTTCTGACATGTAGTGCTTTATTTTTCCAAAAAGAAATTCTTTACATATTACATATATTGCAAGTATCTACTCCTAATTGGTAACTTAAATTTTTACTTTAGGGGATAATTATGTTTTATATTTTGATGCAAATTCATCAGTCTTTTCCTTCTGCTTAACCATCTTAATAACGAAAAGTTCCCTTATAACTTAATATCTTCTGGCACTTTTACTATTTATTCTTTATTATTTATTTAACAAACCTTAATTTACCACCAACTGCTTCAATTCCACGGGTTATCTTGAAAGATGAAGCTCCTTTTGTAGTCTTGAAAAAGAAAGAATGTATTCTTAGTAGTTCTTTAATGCTGAGCTTGCCAAACATTACACTATATCAAATTTATTGTTAACTATTAGCAGATTAAAAGGATCTTTAATAAAAAACAGGTAACTTTTAGTGAAGAATGATAAAATTCAACAAAAAGCACAAGTGTGTGAGAGTATGTGTATGTGTATGTATAAAACATAATTTTTTTTGGGGGGAGGTGCGGTTTGAACTCAGGGCCTGCGCTTGTTTAGGCAGGTGATGTACCACTTGAGCCACTTTGCCAGTATTTTTTTGCATTGGTTATTTTTGAGATAGGATCTTGCTTTATGGCCAGGCTATCCTAGACTGCAACCCTCCTATTTTTGCTTACCTGTGTAGCTGGGATAACAGGCCTATGCCACCGTGCCCAGCACTGACTGAGATGGGGTCTTCTGAGCTACCACGCTTGGCTGTTTTTTTGTTTTTTGGCAGTACTGGGGTTTGAACTCAGGGCCTTGGTCTTGCTAGGCAGGTGCTCTACCACTCCAGTCATAACCCAAGCCCTGTTTTTTTGAGTGATGATCTTACTATGTAGCCCAGGATAGGTAGTTCAGGCCACATAGTTCAGATTTGCCTCAAAACTTTTGATCCTCCTGCCTTAGCCTCTTGAATACTGATATTATAGGCTCATGCTACCAGTTTGGTTTAGATTTTTACATAAAGTGTATTTATGTAAAAACTCTGCTGGTAATATAAGCTTATTAGAGTCCTTAATCTATTCTGAAAGAGAATTATATGTGGGGAAAAAAGAGTATTTGCCTTTCAATTTTTGGCACTTTAAGATTTTTAGAGATTTCTAATTTTCTAACACTAACATTCAGATGGATACTAATTAAATGGTTCTCTGTAACAAATACCCTGTGGTTTCTCAGTTTCTATAAGGGAATTTTATTGTGTTGAACAGTGTTCCCCCTAAATTTATGTGCATTCAGAATCTGGGAATGTGACTTTATTTGAAGATAGGATCTTTATGGATGTTTAATATGAAGTCATACTGGATTAGGGTAGACTCTAAATCCAATGACATGTCGTTTTAAGAGGGAAATTTGGACATAAGGACACAGAGAGAAGGCAGGCCAAGTAATTAACAGAGGCAAAAATTGGAGCGACGGGGCTGCAAGCCAAGGAATGAAAATGATGGTTGGCAAACACCAGAAGCTAGGAAGAGGCATGGAAGGACTTTTTTCTTATAGCCTTGAGAAAAAGAATGCCCCTGCTGTCATCTTGACTTGTTGTAAGGTACCCTGACTTTGACTTCTAGCCTCTAAAATTGTGAAAGGATAATTTTCTTTTTTTTAAGCCACCCACTGGTTTTGTGGTACATTTGATAGGCAATTGAAGGAAAAAACTAACACATAGGGAAGTTGCTTTCACTTTTTCTTTTTCCAAACAGGGCCCAAAATACCCAGGGAATATGGCAATTGAGGAAAACTACACAAGGGAAGTTGCTTTCCCACTTTTCTTTTTCTCACAGGGCCAAAATACATAGCATTTCCAAACACTGAGGTAATTAAAGGACTTTAACAAACCTGGATGAAGACGCAGCAAATGAGAGGTTCCTAAATTGTTTGGAGTCCTCATTTCTTACTGCTTGCTTTAATAAACAAACCAATTCTTTGAATACAGGAGCATAGTTTTTCCAGAGAAGCAATCACCAAGCCATTTGGGTTAGTTTGGTTAAACCTGTAGTTAAGATAAAGTAGACATGTGATTCATCTCTCTACGTTAACCATGGAGAGGTAAGGCATATATGGGCTTCAGTGAGCAAAGACAGTGGGACTAACCTCAGAGGTCCTGAGGATGGAGAGGCACTCCTGTGGGGGTTGCTGCATCTTTAACTTTGGGGGCAACTTTGAGGGGGAAAATAAAACCTCTAAACACACAACAAAAAAAAAAAGAGGTTACATGTTTTCTCCCAAGATAGTGCTTTAATATAAAATACTCTATCTTAGTGTTGCCCCAAGTGACATTAGACGTTCAGAAGTAAAAAGACCAAGAACTGCCTCCCAGTGTTTATCTGAATAATTTATTTTTTTAATTTTTTTATTATTCAATATGTGCATACATGCTTAGTCATTTCTCCCCCCTGCCCCCACCCTTCCCTTACCAGCACTCTGCCCTCTCTCTCCCCCCCACCCCCTCAATACCACAGAAAACTATTTTGCCCTTATCTCTAATTTTGTTGAAGAGAGAGTATAAGCAATACTAGAAGGAACAAGGGTTTTTGCTAGTTGAGATAAGGATAGCCTATCAGGGAGTTGACTCACATTAATTTCCTGTGCATGTGTGTTTACCTTCTTCTCCTAGGTTATTCTTTTTTGATCTAATCTTTTTTTAGTTCCTGGTCCCCACTTCCTCCTATTGGCCTCAGTGCTGTTTAAGGTATTGCTTTAGTTTCCTCTGCATTGAGGGCAACAAATGCTAGCTAGTTTTTTTAGGTTGTCTTACTACATCCTCTCAATCTCTCCCTTGTGTGCTCTCACTTTTTATCTTGTGATCAAAGTCCAGATCCCCTTGTTGTGTTTGCCCTTGATCTAATGTACACGTATGAGGGAAAGAACATATGATTTTGGTCTTTTGGGCCGGCTAATGTCACTCAGATGTTCTCTCAGTTGCATCCATTTACCAGGAATGATAAACATTTTCGTTGTCTCCTTCATTGCTGCATAAAATTCCATTGTGTATAGATACCACATTTTCTTGATCCATTCGTCAGTAGTGGGGCATCTTGGCTGTTCCATAACTTTGG